CCTCCTCTGTGTTGAAGAGTAAGACTGCCTCGGTTTAGTGATTAGGGTTTAGCAGACTTGGTGGTGTCGGCGCCAAGAGCTCCCTTCACATGGGTTTAAGTCTTTGGGTTCAGGGGGGATGCAACGGGACAGATTGAAGCTTCCGTAGACTCCCTTCCTCCACAATGCATGGAAATGAAGGGCTCCAGAAGAGTAAACCATGATAAGACCAGCGAAAATGCAATTCGGTGCGGTCATGGAGAGCTGAGTACAGGAACCGGGATCCAGCTAGAGGTTGAAGTTGCTTTGAATGGAAGGGTTCGAGAGGCCCAAGATTTGACAAAGGCTGTTCTCGGTGGCTCTTGACAAGGAACTTAGTTCAGCTGCCATCATAGGGCTGAAATATTGTAAATGATAATATAGGGGCCTGAAAAATTAGAATAGGGTTCTGGGGCCCATTATACTATAACTACAATAAGGAACCCCACAATAGTATAGGTGATTATTGAGGCCCCTTTGATAGGTGTTCCTCATTCGATCGAACCACTTACCTATACTGAACTTAGAACCCTAGCAAAAATTAGAATTTTAGCTGTTTCTTAGAGATTATAACAACCAAAAAGTTAAAAATCATTTCCAAGTACGCCCAAGTTACCTTATCAAGAGCCCAGGTTTAGCCTTGCTACTTGGAGGCTCAAGGGTAGTTATAAGTGGGGTTATAAGTCCCCTAATATGGGTTATAAGTATAGCTACCCTACTTATAACCCTACTAATCAATACCCATGAACCTCCAAGTACTGATTATGAGTTCAGCTTTTCCAGCTCCACTCTCGACTTGGGTCGTTGTGAAAATCAGGGCCCCTTTTTGGGTACCCTAAATATTCGGTGCCGTACTCTATAAGGACCCAAAAAGGGACCATAGTTTTGACAACCACCCACTTATAGAGCAGGATCCTACTAAACTGGGTTTGCATTAGCCACCCTAGTCTTCTGATCTTCCGACATCCTACGCAAAAAAAGCGATTTCCGAAGGAATGCGGGCTGGGGTGGCTTGGGTATGTGCTTTCCAAGAGGCAGATACTTTCCACACAGAAACACCTGAAACCCAAGACCCGACCCAACAACCTGCGGTGCAACAGACTGAGCACGTGCCCATGGGCGAAACACCGCCTAAGGCTTCCCGACATCACCCTCAAGGGAGGATCTTGACCTACGGTTGATGATACAAATCCTGCAATACCCATAATAAGGAATATACCACAATTCTCGTAGTTTGGGGTCCTTAAGGTAATGCAGGATTTATATCATCAACCGTATGACATCCTAACCCACTAAAAGCGTACCCTCGAGCCGAAGGCAACTCTGAAGAAGCTCCCAAGCCCCGAGCCCACAAGCAGATGAAATCGAAAAGGGCACGAAGAAAGAACGCGCCTACAGTGAACCTGTCGAAGAGTCCTTTCGGAACCGCAATCACAACCTGAACTCTGAACTCCAAACACCACAACCCCGACACTGAACTATTGAAAAAAACCATCAAGCCCCATCCGACAGCCCTTAGAAGTCCCTACTTGGAGGTTCATGGGTAGTTATAAGTAGGGTTATAAGTAGGGTAACTATACTTACAACCCAAATTAGGGGACTTATAACCTCACTTATAACTACCCTTGAGCCTCCAAGTATCAAACAAGTCCCACTGGAAGCGCCTGGCTTTTCCTTCAAAGTACCAAAGCTTGAAAGAATCCGCATAGCAAACTCAACCTTAGAACTACTATCAACATTGTACTGCTGTTGTTATACTGCTGCTATTGCTATCTTTATGATTATTATTGCTACTATTATCCTAACCCTAAACCCTAAACCTTAAACCCTAACCCCCTAAACCCTTACTTTTCCCGAATTGTGTACCATTTCCTCAGGTAAGCACGTGCCCGCGAGACTTCGGCCGTCCGCCGATCTGGCGCTTGAGGGCTCTGTAGGAGGAGTCTTTAGGGTTTGCGGGGTTTAGGGGTTGAGGGGTTTAGGGGTTCAGGGTTTAGGGACGTCGTCGTAGTGGCAATAGTCGGAGGAGCAGGAGGAGGAAGCAGCAGTAGCTGTGCCACCAGCAAGAGTAGAGTACTACTCTTCGACATAACTTCGAATACTATAACGGTTAAAGGTAATAGTAAAACATCACTTTGCGCTGTTGCCGTGCCTCGAAGAATTGAAAGACCAAAGCAAAGTGCTAGCGCCTTCTAGGTATTGTCACCCAGTCGCACAACATCGGACAACGGTACGGCTCAGATGGTGGTTTAGAGCCTGACTCCAAAGATTCAAATTTTCGAGCCCTCTCACCACGGATCTCTCTCAGCTGGAAGCTGACTCAGAATTATGATTACATCATGTGGGCTTTCAGAATTCTGAGCGATGCCTTAGCCTCCGTATAGAGACCTTCTAAAACCCTCACGATGGCCCTACCAAATGACGACATAGCAAGCTCTCAATCTGCATCAAGCGCTGCAAGGAGGCCGTCTGGTTGTAGAACAGCCCCATGCTGACCTTATCTGGTGAAGGTACAGAATCTGTAGTTAAGATGTGGGTGGTTCTCAAAATTAGGGTCCTTTTTGGGTCCCCTATTATCATACGGCACCTACTATTTAGCGTACCCAAAAAGGGACCCTAATTTTGACAACTAACCATGTACTGGCCCCGCCCCGGCGCTGCCCCACCTCGCGCCCCCTCCTACCCCAACACAAACAGCATTTTGCAGCTTTTTGCTAGGATTGGGATCTTGTTACGGAACATAGCTTAGGCTACCATACTGGATCTACCGTAGATAATATGGCGTCCTTATTATGGTAACTTAAATTAAGCTCCTCTATATAACCCGGAGGATGATGCCACCGCTTCACCATTGAGTAAGGCCGCCGACTCAGGGTTGGGAGTTGGGACTACTACTACTACTACTACTACTACTACTACTACTACTACTACTACTACTACTACTACTACTACTACTACCCTGTGCCTGGGATCTGCATCCTGGGGTCCTCGGTTTAGGGTTTAGGGTTTAGGGGTTTTGGGTTTAGGGTTTAGGGTTTAGGGATGGCCGCCAAAGCTTGGAAGCAGATTTTGACTTCAGCTCATGGCCGCCGCTTGGTTTGTGGGCATGGCAGGGCCTTGAGGTTTCTGCAGCTGTCATCTTCCTTGTTCTCGCGTAGGGAGATGTCGGCCCATCGGCTCACTGCCTGTAATTCCACCGAAAAGTGGCAGTGGTGCTGACATCGGCTTTGGGATGAGTGCGATGAACGAGAACAGGACTAGTATCATCGTCTTGCTCCTGCTGCTGCGGTCGTCGTGATTTGTGATGGGTGGTGGGTGGTAGGTGGTTGTTGGTGATGGCTGTTGTGGTTGTGGTTGTGGTTGTGGTCGCCGCCGCTGCTGCCGCTGGCATTGCTGTTGTTGTCGTTGTGGTTTGTTGCGGTTGTGGCAAGATAGTTCGGTGCGGGGAACACATGCAACAGCAACATGAATTACATACCTGCCTATGGCTCCTGAAAACGGTTCTCTCTTTCTAATATTAAGATACCCCAAAACCAAGTTCTAGTTAGTAATGCTTCTGTGTTATGCTTCTGCCCCACGAGCTGAGAAAAGCAGGCTCACTGTAGGGAGACCGGCAATGGTCGCAAAACCGAGAACTTCATACTTCTGGCTTGAAGCCTAGCTCTCGGACCGTTCTCTCTCCGGCACATATGCGGACTATTCAAAGTGTTCTATATGCTGTCGCATATCGTGCCATCTCAGTCCCAAACACCCTAAACACTAAGTCCCTAAGTGCTCCGTTTCGAGACCCTGAAGCCTGAACGTCAAGCCTCACGATGGCCGATCAGGGCTTATGCATGGTTACTTCGGAGGTTCATGGGTAGTTATAAGTAGGGTCATAAATAGCGTAACTATACTTATAACCTACATTTTTCTGGAGGGGGGGGGCCTGTTAGGGGACTTATAACCCCAGTTACAACTACCCCTGAACCTCCAAGTAGGGTTCAGGTTCTGGGTTCAGGCTCGGTCTGTTGGTCTTCGGCCTAGGGTGTAATATAGGGGCCTTGACAATTAGAATCGGGTTATGGGGAACCCGAAAATGGTATAGGTAATTGGCAAGGCCCCTGTATAAACCCTAAACTGCAAAAACGAACAAAACCCTAAAACTCCTCTTATAAATAAACTTAGGCCCCACTAGTAGTGCTCACTGTTTAGAGCTTTATCTCAGCCGCGTGCCCATCGTGGCTTCGTCTCCTTAGCCCGTCGGAGCTGTACTAAAACAGCTGCCCTGTTATATATATATATATATATATATATATACATTGCATCTTTCGTATATGTACATTACATATGTGTATATGTATGTATATACTTTTTCTATATGTATTTTCTATGTGTTTCTATATATATATATATATATGTAACTGCAGGGCTTAAGGTTTAGGGCATGGCCATATGGGGACTACAACGGGACATCAGTACAACTTATTCGAACCTCTTTGATACGCATGGAATTCTGTTCCGCAGCATTGCTCGAAACAAATGAAGTTGTGGGGTTTTGGTGTGTAGGTTGCGCTGGAGGCATGGAGAGTTGGGAGCTCGTTCGATAAGCAATCTTCGAGGTTCCAAGATGAAGGAGCTCCGCCGTGCAGGGATAAATCAAACGGTAGGCCAGCAGCGGCATCTGGGACTTTTAGTTTCAGGTGCTGTACTTGCATGTAGGTCCCAGGTCTTAGGTCGGCTCGCACCCATGAACTGCCTTAACTCCGATGTGTAGCTCGAACCAGAAGTCCAAACCGCACGACCAAGTCCCACAATCCCATGACACCTACACGCTAAGCCCTGACCGCACGCTCCACAGACCCCATGAGTCCAGACTTTCACATAGTGCATCCAACAAGCTAGAGACACTCCGTTTGGCGGTATGTAGTGTTCAAGGTTACTGAACCCTCAATCAGGGTTTTGGGCTCACGGTTCCAGACGAGTGGCGTTGAAAAACTCTTTTATTGAATCTGGCGTCGCGTTGTATGGGACGTTGTTGACCCACCTCAGCAAAGTTGGCTGTGCGACAGGGACTTCGAAAATGAATGAAACAAACTAAACCCTAAACCCTTAACCCCTAACTTGAGAAGCTTAGTTTTAAGCTAGCCTCGAAAATCTGTGGGATTTTCGGGAAAGAAAGGAGTCGCCAAAATCCAGCTCTATGAAACCCCTAAACCCCTAAACTCTCAAACCCCTAAACACCTACACCCCAAACCCCTAAACCCCTAAACCCCCCCCCCAAAAAAAAAAAAAAAACCTGCGGTAAACACTCAAACCCCTAAACCCCAAACCCCTAAACCCCTAGTCAGCCTGAAATCCTAAGCCCGCAGCTCCTGATCGTGAGCCGGACCACAGACTCCCAAATCCCGACCTAGCTCGCACCCCCACACTGGGTTCTTCTTCCCCAGATTCCCGGGAGGATCTAGAAAGTAGATCCTCTAATTTGGGGCTCAGGGTACTTTATAGGAACCCCCATTAAGGATCTACTTTTTGGAACCTCCCGGGGGTCTGGGTAATGAACGTAGTTCAAGCTACCATAATAGAGATCTATAGTAATCACATGGCTTCCTTACTATGGTAACTCAACTTACAGTCCTTAACCGCAACTATGGAAGAAGAGTAAAGAAACAGCTTGTTTCAAACACAACCCTAAACGACTCTAAACCCTAGAACCCGAATCCGAAAAATCTCAACCCACCCCAAAAACAGCTACCAACACACACAACCCTGAAACCCGAATGCCTCCAACTCTCAAGCATTCCTTGGCCCGAAGCCGCAAAAACAACATACGGATTGCAGCAACAAGCTGATGTTTGGGAGTTCGGATTAGGGGGACCCTTGCTCCGAGGCCATCGACCCTCCGAATAAGGGCCGTTTTCAGAGAGCCAGAAGTAGGCCAAGAAGGCTCCCCTTTAAGGGGTCTCCTATAGGTTTAGGCTTTAGGATTTAAGGTTTACGGTTAGAATTCTACTTAGGAGATATCTCCGGGGTCACGGCAGGCTTCGCTTCTCAGAGCCACCTGCGCGAAGGATCAAAGGCATGAGAAGGGCTCTTCAAGGGCCTGGTTTGGGGTTTAGGGTTTAGGAGTTTTATGTAGGAGCCTGATTATTAAGAAACCCTGGCCCATATCCTCCACATAGTAGGGATATCATATAACCTCTAATAAAGACCAAAGGTAACTTAATCAGGTTCCTACAATAGGGCTCGAAATTTAGGGCGTTAAGGTTTGGCTTCATCAGGTTGTAGCTTTAAAACTGTAGCGGCTCAGGGTTTAAACGTGCTTTCGGAGAGGGTTTCCGGTTCAGGGTTACGCCGTTTCAACGCTTCGAACACGTTGCAGTTTACGGCTCAGAGTTTGTATCGAAAATGGGCGCTTAGGTTTCAGACGATGTCAACAGGATTTATAGGAACTATATCTGAAGCTTGCAAGCGTCTGAAACTCTGTCCGTACGTGTGAAGGATCTCATACCCCTGACAGTAACACTCTCATGACAATAAGGGTATACTGCAACGGGAATGTTTGACTCATTGTTGCAGAAAGATCTAAGGAAAGAGTAGTCATACCACCTTGTGGAACCTCTACTGTTCTAACGTAGTGTACCACAAAACCCTAGTCATCTTGTATTAAGAGGGGGTTAGGGGGGGTTTGAATCCTGGGGGAAGTGTGCTACATTGGTAGGTTCTGTGGGTTTGAATCGAAACTTCTTCTTGGTTGAGGGGGCGGTGGGTGTTACCCTGCCTGAACAAAGGCATAGTCAGCCCTATGCTATATACTGCCTGTTGCACACCTACCTAAGGGACATCCACTCACAAACGCAAAAGGCAAATTCTATATGGAGATGCAACCAAGTATACCTTTGAAGCTATATGGTGATCGTCGTGCAGCCAATGATGAGAGGTTGCTTACTCTGCCACAGCGAGACAACCCTAAACCCTGAAACCCAAAACACCCTAACAACCCCCAACCCTGAAACCCTAAAACCCTAAACTCATAATACCCTAAACCCTGAAACCCTAAAACCCCAAACCCTTAACCCTCAAACCCTAAACCCCAAACCGGGCCTTCACCTTCCTCTCAGTAGTGTTCCCCTTGTTCCATCCTTACGATGGCAAGGGCAAAGGGGCAAACACAACATTCGCTGAAGGTGTCGGGCTTTGGGGGTTTCGGGTCACATGTAACGCCCAAGAGAAACCCAACAAAGAGCCAAATTAATGCTGCCTTCCTATGGATCTTGCTGTGCCTCATCCCTACTCCGACCCGACCCAAGCCACGAAACACAGCTATTGAGGGCCTCAAGGCTGAAGGCTTATAGTCTTATAGTAGAAGCCAGAAAGTTGGAACATGGCTTCAGGAGGATTCGTGCTAGGATCCCTTATACTTTACCTTAAGGGCATGAGGATAATGACGTTCCAACTTTCTGGGTTCTACTCTAAGGTTTCTGGGTCTGTACGGACAAGGTTGCACATAGATAGGCTGACGCTCAAATCCAACCGACACCCTCAGTCATCTCATGCTACACCCAAGAGGGTCAACCGATTGCGACAGCGGAGCTGGTCACGTCTGAGGGCGTAGATACCGCTGGTTGCACAATACCATCCCATCATGTCCACCTCCGGCGCCTGGCAGATCGGCGACTCGATCGGAGCGCCTTCCATGACGGTATCTGCAGCAGCACTCCTGTACCAATGAGTCGCGTCAACAGATGAAAGGTCAGCGGGAGCCACGGTTTCTTGTCCAACGTCGGGCTCGGTGAGCCGCAGGCCACCTCCGTCCAGCGGTTCACTCCGCCGCGATGGATTTCGCTGGAGCAAGTCCCCAGAGACTCCAATATCCCTTAATTAGGGAGTATACCTTAAATCATATTAGGGATCCTACTATAATTTAAGGTATATTCCTTAATTAAGGGATATTGGAGTCTCTGGGTCACCTGATGCCAACTCCATGGGGATCAAGGCAACGAGCCAGCTTCGAGGCAAACGGTCCTATTGCATCAGTGCCCGGGCACACATCGGGCACTGCGTGCACCAGATCTATGGGGTTCCATTAAAGGGATCTATCGGGCTCCTTAAAGGGATCTATAGGGTTCCTTAAAGGGATCTATGGGGTTTAGGGTTTCTAGGGTTTCAAGAGTTTCAAGCGTTGAAGCCGAAGCTCTAGCGTGCAAGCCTTCGGATTCGAGAAATCCCCAAGCATCGCCTGGGAGTCTCGGGGCCAAAGTCAGCTAACGCCCAAGCTGGGATCGGGTCTCAGGGTTAGGGTTTAAGGCTTAGGGTTTAGGGCTTATCGTGCCCAGAACCCAAACGTATAGGACAATCCTGGAAAACTTGAACGCTAGAAACCGTTTCTAGCTCCCATACAGGCTAAGCTCAAAACCCTTCCAGAAACCTGACCCAATGGTTGTGGTGCCAGGTTGCGGAGTGTTCAATTCCCTCTGCATTATGTGATAAGTTGCTACAAATGGCTCCTATAAAAAAACACATACATCCCGAATTCCGCATACCTGAACCCTAAACCCTTCAAGTGTTGTCTTCAAAATGCAGAGGTTGCAACAAAGCCACTAGAAGCCACGACTCGGACGATCGTTGACACGAACTACACATATTTAAAACAGCGGGTCTTTGGGTCAGACCGTACATCGCACTTGCTCCTAGTCCACTCCTCGCAATGATCGAGAAACGGCCCGAAGCGTCTAGAGTTTAACCTAGAACCTATTCCCAAACCCTGAGTCTTGAGCCCCAAACTATACTGAACTTAGAACCCTAGCAAAAGTTATAATTTCAGCTGTTTCTTAAGGATTATAATAACCAAAAATTATAAATTATCTCTAAGTACCACCGAAGTTTACCTGAACTCTACAGAACCTACCTGTTTGGGTTTGCTTACTATGAGTTCCATATGTAAATCCTGAGAATGTGGGGCATTATCGGGTCCAGGTAGGACTTAATATGAAGCCAAATCAGCTGAAAAAACTGAGGTGTTTTGGGATTATCCTAAACCCAAAACCCTAAACCCTAAACCCTAAACCCCAAAACCCTAAACCCTAAACCCCAAAACCCTAAACCCTAAACCCTAAACCCCAAAACCCTAAACCCTAAACCCCAAAACCCTAAACCCTAAACCCTAAACCCCAAAACCCTAAACCCTAAACCCCAAAACCCTAAACCCTAAACCCCAAAACCCTAAACCCTATCGTGGAGCTCCAGAGGGACTGCAAGAGCCGGGATACTGTTGCTTCACTACTCAGGGCACCCCGTAGTTCATGTAAAATCCTAAGTAAAATTGACCCCAGCAACTTGAAACGTGGATTTAATGGTTTGTGCTGGGATTCCCTATGCTTTATTGCAACGGCATGAGGATAACCAACCGTGTTCCAACTTTCTGGCTTCAAGCGACCAATGTAGGGGCCTAAGTAACTACCAATAACACTATTTTTCGGGTTCTTTATTTTCGTTATAGCATAATGGGACCCAAAACCCTATTTTAACTATCAAGGCCGCTATACTGCCTTAAGGGTTTGTGATTTTCGCCTTTGGGGGGTGCTCCCGTGAGCCTTTCGCACATCTGAATCCCAGTGCTCTGCGAGAGCGCTAGTCCGTCCCTGGGGTTTGGGGCTCTATGGTTTCTTGGGGCTTCAGGATTTCCGGGCTTGGTGATTCTACCCCCCCTAGGTTACTAAAGTTTGCTAGTGTTCTTCGGTGTCGGGTTTAGGTACTGTTGATGATATAAATCCTGCATTACATTAAGGACCCTAAACTATGGAAATTATGGTATATTCCTTATTATGGGTAATGCAGGATTTATATCATCAAAAGCTAGCTAGATGCGACGGAGATTCCTTGGACTGTCGTGCCATCGAACTTCTCGACGGCCTTCGCACGTGGCCACTATCAATATCCTATGCCATCCCCCTCCTGAGCGGATCAGCGGGCAACCCCAAATTGGGGCAATCATTTTACTTGCTATCGTTACCTGAATTATCACCCTACTTAGCCCCACTTACTAAGCCCCCTCATGCTTGAAGTATGTCCTACTTGTCGGGTATCATGGGGAACTACGGGTTAGTTTTTGTTGGTTATAGAGGGATTATATAGGTACTAGACAACCCAAAAAAAGGTGAAAGGTTACCTACTCTACTACTATAGTACCCTTTATAGATCCCTATAGATCCTTTATAGTAACCCTTATAGACCCCTGTAACGGAACCCTAAGAATGTTGGGAAATTAGCAAGCTTCTCAAGTCGGATAGGATCCTTGACTTTCGCCTGGCAACCACAAGCGCCAAGGGCCTGCAAAAGTTCAGCTACCTAGACCTTCAAGCAACCAGGGAGAAGAATGTATAGGCCTTTCTTTCATAGTGGCTCCTTTAAAGAACAAATGTCCAACTTACAAGTATTAATTTATGGATGGTACTCCAAACCCAGGCACTATTGACTGTCTGAGTGCACCCCCCCACCATCACCATAATGATGATCCTGATGATGACTAGCAAATGAGCACTATCACAGCTAGCACCAGCAACCTCGATACCTTGACAATACTCATGCTGGCATGTATCCAACGAAGACTTGCGGCAACGGCAGCAACCGTCGTTGCGACCAGGTCTTGCTGGATTGGAAGCATGGCCGCCAAAGAGATTGCTCATCGCCGGCAGGTCCGGTGCGCAAGCGATACAAGTAAATGCCCCTGCGAGCTGGACAGGACTGCAACAGGGAAGACTCGTCGATGTTCCGGAGACCACTCTTTATTAGGCCGGGTGATTCCACTCGGCGTCGAACATGGCAGGCAACCTGCCCAAGCCAGACAGTGCGCACCGATGCTCGGATGACGATGTTGTTGCCGCCACCAGCATCAGCCCTCCCTGACACCCCACCTCAACACAGTTCAAATGCAAAAAACAACTCAAATCCTCGTGCATGCACCTCGGGCCGTGCGCCGTCATCTCACGAAAACATACACTGACCGACCCCGTCTCTGAAAACAGCCCTGCAACCACAAAATCGGCAGCATGATCTCTGCAGTTTACGGTCAGGGCGTAGAGGCTTGGGGTTTAGAGATTCTTGTTGATAGAATCCGAAGCTCCACCAAAGCTGCCGGCCGAAGATGCCGGTATGCCTGATACTGACACTCCAAGCCCTGAAAGAAGGGCTCTGTGCACGATATGGGAGTTTCCGAAAATTGGGTCCTACTATTTAGGGCACTATATTAGGGTCCCCTAGTTTCGGAAACCCCCATATTCTGTGCTACTGTTGTGAAGCCAGAACATTCATGCTGGGTAGTGAGGATCCTATAGCTGGGATTAGGGTATCAGGTTTTACGAATTAGTAAGGGACGCAGGGCCAAGGTGCTCCACGGTACCCACCTACCTATGGAATGAAAGGACTGCTGGCCGCTGGGCGGTTTGGGGATTTCGGGGTTAGGGGTTGGCAGTAGTTTAGGGACCCGAAAACCGACAAACTTACAGCTTAGGCTTTAGGGCTCGGGAGTTCAGGGATGTACAAGGACCCGGTGCCGACAGCAGCGGAAAGTGCGGGGCTGAGACCGTGCTATTTCGCAAACTCTAAACGTATGGCCCGAAACCTCAGCCAAAGCACCAATATACCATACAATGCCCTGAAAACCCTAAACCCTAAACCCCTGACAAACACTCAACCACTAAACGAAAGAAGCTTAAGGTTATTTTGGCCCAAGACCCTTGTCCCTACAGGCACCGAGCGGCCTTCTCGGCTTCCTCGGGAGTAGACATTGTGACGGTGGCCCATCCTCCGAAAATGTCGTCGCTCGGGGTTTTGCATCTGGCCGTAGGTTATGGCTAGGGATTCTCAACGGCTGAGTACCCGAGAAAAAGGTTGACCTGTTCATTTCATTTCTGATAGGACCGATAGGATTACTTAGACCCCAAAAGGTTGAAGGTTACTTACTCAGCTACTCAGGATTTGTGTTACCATAGCAACAACAACATCATATTTACTAAGGGATCCTTAAAGGGATCTATAAGGGTTCTATCAGGGAATTAGGGAATACACATATGATGCCAGGACCAAGGACTGACTACATACGACGTTGTGCTGCCTGACGTGCATGGAAGATCCCACAGGGGACCGGAAGGGGATCTTACACATCCCTAAACCATAGGTTTAAACAACAATTTCTTAAAAAAAACACCTATCCCTAAACCCTAGATCCTAAACCGCATATAGCTTAGCGCTTCGGGATGGAGCCGTGGACTAGGGCTGAGGGTTTGCGTCTAGGACTAGGAGCTTGGGTACTGTGAGTTGGTTTAGGGTCTGCAACATAATGCAAGAGAATATGATACAACATCATGATGTAAAAGGTGCAATATAAGATATCAGAATACAATACAGGGTCTTAATATATAATATGACAGGTTTGGTGCTTCGGTCTCTTTCAGGCTTCTAGGGTTATTGGTGACCTAAGGTTCCAACTTCCTGGGAATCGCGACTCAGAGCCTCGAGTCTGGCAATATCATGAACTGAAAACAGAAAGGCTTAGAACAACATCTCCTGCCTGATTCAAAGAACAACGGCCTGCAACATTGCCCCCACCCCCTCTGCTTCTGAAGGTCGCTGCGTTGGTTTAGGGTGGCGGATTCAGGAGTGTAGGACTTTTAGGCTCTCTGGCTCAATGCCGCTCAAATAACCTTGAGCCCCTAACACCCCAGGTACCAAACCCCAAACCTCGAAACCCAAACTTCGACTCCCAAAGTCCTTGAACTTACCTTTGGTTAGTAGGGAATGGAAGAATGGGATACAATTATAACTACTATTACTACCATTCTTCCATTCCCTACTAACCAGAGGTAAGTGAACCTAAACCCTGGAGCACTTAAGCCCTAAGTCTTTGAACCCGATAGGCTTAGTAAGAGGCACAGGCCCAGCCTCGGGACTGCGCCTTGCAACAGGAGCCCCCGAAATACAGTGGATTTTAGCATCGCTCTTTAGGCGACAAGTCGCTTCTGTTTCGGTTTCAATCAAAATGGTTTCTGGTACGTATTTGGGGCCTTAATAATTACCTATTTTGGGGGTCCCTTTTTATGATTATAGTATTACGGGCGCCAAAACCCTATTCGTATTTGTGAGGGGCTTGGGGTTTTGCTCTTCTGGGAGCGGGGCTCGGGGACCAAACAACTTAACCCGCAGCCCAAAACCAACAAGCCCTAATAAGCAGTTCTCATCTATAGTCCTTGGCACCCGGAACGATTCAAAGTCTCAAGATGAGACTTAAGCAATACTTGGACTTAGGGTTTAAAGTTTGGGGCTTATTCTTTGACGGGTAACGCTCTAGGGGTCATGGTTTTCCGGTGGAGGATGGCGAGGTTGACTTGTGTCAGCCCGAGGACACTACCACTTCAGAAGGAGAACGCAGACTGTTGGGGAGTTAGGGCTCCTTTAAGGGCTCAAAAAAAGAACCCTTACCCCCCAACAGTCTGAGCTAGGGTTCAGGGCATAGGCTTTAGGGTGAAGCCCAAGTAGGGGGCAAAAAAGTTGGAGACTGAGAACTGCTGACTGAGGCTCAGAGAATTCGCTGCTTTTCTGGAGAGCCGTCGTATGTGCGTGCTTGTATACATGTATATATATATATATATATATATAAATATATGTATATACAAATACCTGTATATGCAGATATGTATACATGTATACACACACACCTGCACGTATGCATATTCAGGTTCCCCCATCTATACGTACAGGGCGAACTACCTTTCTGCGCGTTTCTGGACATCTTTGCGGTTGCATCTCCATGAACTTGAATGTACACGCAACGTCTTGTAGCCTATGGGCCGACTGTCTCAGCCTCGAGACCAGAAAGTACACAGAGCTGGGCGTACGGCAACAATCACGTCAAACTTGTAGACGAACATGAAACCAAAGATATGCAGCTTCCAGAATCGAAATAGCACATTCCCTTTTCCGCCGTTTGCGGGACCAAGTCACAGCATGCTGCTGTCGCGCCATGTCTGTCTATCTGCTGCAGCCCATGGCCAAGCTAGCTAGGTTCTACGTACAGTCAACGGAAGTCAACACAAGTGTCAGGGTCGCTTGCCGGGAAAGGCCAGCAAGACTCAATGCTACGCCCTGAAACCTCAACAAGACTCCGAAACTCTACCTGGAGGTTCATTGGTAGTTATAAGTAGGGTTTTAAGTAGGGTAACTATATTTATAACCCATATTAAGGGACTTATAACCCCACCTCTAACCACCCCTGAACCTCCAAGTACATCCTGATCCTAAACCCTCCTCCGAGGGGCGGGCACCCGTCATCTCCACTTCGCTACGCAGCACCGTCCCCACCTTGCGACGAGGACGCTACAAACCCGAAACCCTGAAGCGCAAACCGCAGTTGTGTGGCTTTCTGCGCTTCTTTCTTCGGCTTGGCTTTGGTTCCTAGGGCTCCGGCTCCGTGTCCTGATTTCAGTAACTTGCAATAGGGCATACAATATAGTATGTTAACATACTCTGTAGTCTTTTGTATTATAGAATAGTAGTAATAATAATGACAGTAGAGTCGGATTATACTAGAGTATGGTATGCTATAAGGACTGCAAAAAAATTGAGGTGAGGGTTCCAGGCGCTCCGAGAGCCTCCGTCAGGATTGAGGGCGTAGCTGCCAAGATACCAGAACGGGGAAGCCTTGCTGTTTAGGGTTTACGGTTTAGGGTTTTTAGGGTTTGGGGTTTGGGGTTTAGGGTTTGGGGTTTCTAGGGATTAGGGTTTGGGGTTTAGGGTTTAGGGCTTAAGGTTTAGGGTTTAGGGTTTTTAGGGTTTAGGGCTTGGGGTTTAGGGACTAGGGTCTAGGGATTAGGGTTTGGGGTTCAGGGTTTAGGGTTTAAGGTTTAGGGTTTAGGGTTTTTAGGGTTTAGGGCTTGGGGTTTAGGGATTAGGGTTTAGGGTCGACATCAGCATCCCAAGGCCTCAAAGCCCGAAATCCCCAAACTCAGCCGAAACCCTGATCTCACAGACAAAGGCTGAAAGCGTAATCGCCAAACGCCTCAAGTGATCATACCCTCTTTTCTACTTCCTGTATATAGTAACATAGTACCTTGTAATATCTGAAACCGTACACGCCACACCCGTCAAGAATCATACCCGCTTGTCTAGTTCCTGTATAGAGTTGCTTGTAATACTCCACAAAGCCCTATTCGAATCATGAAGGCCCCTATATTGAAAGCCTAGGGACATGAATCACTGAACTTCCCTTGCACCCAGAAAGTCCGACCTCTTTGGGCGTTGGCCGTTCAGGGCCCTAAGAAAGGGCTACTGAGGGTTTATGCGGGTTTTTTGCAAGGCCGTCGCCGTAAATCTTTTGAATGGCGGGGACATTCTGGCCGAATTTTATTGGCTATTGTCATCAGAAGCCACTACTGAGCCCCCTCCACAGAATTCGACGGGAAGTGCCTCTGAAAACATGCCTCGGAGATTCTTTCCCCTGCATGCGGGTGCGCTCTCAAGCGGGAGTTCCAAGATTTCGTGGCTTGCGCTATCCCACTATCCCACGAGCCCGCAAACATTGTAAGGCAATTTCCCTACAAGAGGTCAAGTTGGAGGAGCTTAAGTTCAAGCGCTGTAGTGCTCAGTGCGAAGATTCGATGGGCATGATTGAGGGTTCCACGGCCGAAACATTGCCTAGAAGATCCATTCGGCACCAAACGAAATGAAACCACCAGCGTGGCTCGGCTACCACTCCTGCAAGCACGGCTGCTGCTCTACTGCTGCTTCTCGATTCTGTTGCTATTGCCACGACAATGAGGGGCACAACATCTGCGAACGGTTCGCATTCACGTCCCACAATCAGAATTGACTGCTGGATGAACAAGGGCTTCCGAGGGTTTTATGAAGGATGCAAATAGTTCCTAAATGATGGGTTAGTCAGCAAGAAGCGTAATCTGGGGAAACTCCTCTGCGAGTAGCCCCGCTAGGACGACCGAGCAAGGAACGACCCACACTAATTAATCCTGAACACCAGCAGGGGAAGACTTGCATGGAAAAACCGTGGTCGGTGTACAGAATTTGTGTGTGTGTGTGTGTATATATATATATATATATATATATGAAAGAGTGCATATATATATATATATATAACGTGTATTTCCATCTGTGTGTGTGTCTCTAAGCATATACATATAAATGTATATGTATGTGTACACACATGCACACATATATGTAGGTGTGGCTGTACGTATGTATGTACATATGTGTATATACTAAATTAGTCAAACATCTATATGTATATATATACATACATACATACATACATACATACATACATACATAGGTGCATATGTGTGGCCGAACCAGAGAGAGAGAGAGAGAGAGAGAGAGAGAGAGAGAGAGAGAGAGAGAGAGAGACAGACAGACAGACAGACAGACAGACAGACAGACAGACAGACAGACAGACAGACAGACAGACAGACAGACAGACAGACAGACAGACAGACAGACAGACAGACAGAGACAGACAGACAGACCGAGTGAGAGCGAGATATGCGTCAGCCCCCAAAACGTCTGCCTGATGCTCCAAGGGAGGTTTGCGATGAAAACGCTGCGGGGTTTTGGACCTCGTCTTATCATAGTTATAGGGACCTTTCTTAGGGGGTGTAGGGGAGGGCGGGGGAGGTGGCCTTAATGCCCATAATAAGGTCCGAGTACAGATCTCATCATCCGACAGATTTCTTGCCGTGGGGGCGGTGCAGTGTTTCGGGATTCGGGCATCAGGGTTGCAGGTTAAGAGCTCCGTTGCCTTCTCAAAGCCCTTGGCTTCGGGGCTACGCTCGCATCTAGGGGCCGCGGTGGACTGTGCAGTCTGCGCGTTCGTGAAAAACAGTAGGCTTGTTGCATCGTCCATGGACTTTTGGGCTAAGGTTGGGCTACGGCGTTCGCGGCGGAGCCTTGCTTTCCCCGAATCCCAACATCGAAAATAAACTTTAAGCCCCAAACTTTAACGCCCTGAGCCTTGAATCGTCAAGCTCAACCTTGAACCCTCAGCCACAAAAGCTGAATCCCAAACCCCAAGCCGCTTGGGTTCCGATCTTGCAAACTCGAGATAGTCCAGGGGTTAAGGGCGAAGTTAAGGGTGTACGGCTTAAAGGCTTAAGGCTGAAATTAAGGTCTTGGTATACCGTTTAGACCTTACGGTTTAAGGTTTCTTAAGGTTTACGGCTTGGGGTTTAGGGTTTAGGGCCGGGACAAGCTGTGACAAGCACTGCGTGGCCATCAGGTGGTTTGGTTTAGAGGGACAGTTACGACTTACGGCTTGCTGGGGGCTTTGGCCCGCATTTAAATATAGGTTTTCTTTTAAACCGGTTTCAAGGTTTCGGGCTACCAAGATAAGGCGGTAACAACACCGAAGCATCTACACTCAACCTCCTGGGTCAGAAGCGAGGCCGCTTTAGATGTCTTGCAGACAAGCGTCTTCTGCCGAGTCCTGGCATGCAAGTTTTCAACCCCAAGCGACCCTGCAGTCAAGGATACAAAAATCCTAAAGACTCCTAGACCCAACCCTAAACCCTAGACCCTAAACCCTAAGCCCTTAAGCCAGCACACAACTAAGGACTTTCAATGTTCAACTTGACGTTTAGGGCCTCGGCATCGTCATCAAAAGGTCCGAAAAGAGCGAAAACCCAGGGACGACCAGGGCCAGGGCACAGAACACAATGAAACCAGTTGAGGCTTTTAACGGCAGAATCATAGAGGTCTTAAGGTCTTAGGGCGTCGGTGTTTTAGGCCTCTAGGGCCTTCAGGGGTTTAAACCCCACGTGCGCTGCAGCACAAGAAGAGCTGCTCAAGATTTGGGAGCCATCTCTGGTTCCTCCTTCTGAGAGAGTCTTACCCGGTTCAGGGTTGTTGAATCCTACAGTGGTAGCCCAACTCAACAGACGACATCTTGAAAGCGATGACCAGAACCTATGATTGTCGTTTGAGCAATACCAGCAGCCGCTTGAAACCCCACAACTAGTCCAGCACCCCATAAAAGTCGCACACCTGACAGCCTCAGAAGCGCGCAAATTCTTATCAACACCCAGCAAGCCGGTCAACAAGGTTCGTCAACCTGTACAAGAACCCCAGAGCAGTCCGCCCTGTGCTTTGTCATGACCCCTGCCGCCAACATTTACGGCCAAATCTCGGCACCCCACACCATTCAAGCTCTCCCCCTCCCGTCCCCCACCACGGTACTGCAGCTCTGCAGACTTCAACCTCGAAGCTGTAAACTCTGCCCTGCGGCCCAACGCAAGAAGTCGCACAATTTTCAAAAACCCCCACAACCCGAAATCCTAAATCCTATAAACACTCAAATCCCCCCACCCAAACCTGCGAACCAACACCGCTGAACCCTCTCGCATCTCCAACAAAAACGCTGAAGTCCACATCCCGTCGCACTAAGTCCTACGCCCCAAAAACCACGGCGTCCGTCCTTCCGGCTCCTTGTTCGAAGCCTTGCAGCCGAAGCGAAGGAACAAGCCAAATCCCAGAAGGATTTCGGTTTAGGGCGGGCTGTCCTACTCAAGGTTCCCAAAAGGGCCAAAATGTGAGTTGCTATAGAGGTCACTACAAGGGCAACATAAAAGGCTTCCTGCAAGGGTTCGAATTATGTAGCTGGTTTATGCGACCTCCACAGTTCCTGGTCAGGTAGCTGCAATTGATCTCGAATTCCGCAAACCGTAGCTGTGCCGTAAGTGCCTCAACAGTTAGAGCAGGGTTTTGGGGGCTGTTCTAGAATAGGATGTCGGTGTGTATTCTAGTTTAACTATAGATGGGCTATACTTGATAATTATTCTCTTCAGCCCGCTAAAGCAAGTCCCAAGTCTGCGCCGCCTCCACCGCAAAGAGTGGACCCCCTGTCAATGCGGCGGCCACCTTAGACCAAGCAACAGCATGGATGGGAAAGAGGGGTTCAGTGTATCACAGGAAGTGCGCATCAAGGATTGCACTTGATGCTACGCTTCTGCTTCCAGGCAAGCAAGATGGAAGGCCGGGATCAGAAGCTGAGAAAGAGTCCTTCCTGTTGGGCCATTGCCAAGGGCATTGCAGCAGGGTCCCTAACAACCAGGACATGGTTTCCGGGTCATGAGAGTCTCTCACACATCTTCGACGATTCTGTGCCTTTGATCAGGGCAAGCCCCTCAATCCTAAACCCCGAAGTATCACCAGGCTCCCCAAACTTAAACTCTCAACACCCAAACTCCATAGCCTATATCCCCAGAACTTACATCCGACCCCCTCGAAAAACAATCTATATCTATGACAGTATCTGTGTATATATATATATATATACATATATTTGCATGCATACATATATATCTATATGTAAATTTTCATATTATACTGCATTATATGATATGATACTAGATCTTGTTATAGCGTGTGACATTCTGATTATGATTATTCTTACGGCTACTAGTATCAGAAGTCTAAGTGTTGTATCATCAAGAAAACCCTAAACCCTATACCCTAAACCCTATACCCTATACGCTAAACCCTATACCCTAAACCCTATACCCTATACCCTATACCCTAAACCCTATACCCTAAACCCTATACCCTAAACCCTAATACCCTAAACCCTAAACCCTAATACCCTAAACCCTATACCCTATAAAACAGTCCGCACGCAACCTCAGCACTCCTGGGCTACCACCACGAGGAGAACAAGGGCGCCAAGGCGAGGAGATGCGGCTGCCCTGCCTCATCCGGGAATATTGTAGGGGCCCTAATCATTCGAATAGAGGTTCCTTTAAAGGGGTCTATATAAGGGCTACTATAAAGGAACCTTTTCATTTCATAGACCATAGGATAAGCCTTTTTTGTGAAGGATCTTTCCCGACTGCATGATCAGAAGGCCAGCTAGCCAGGTTTAGGGCTTAGGAATAGGGTTTAGAGTTTTAGGAAAAGGGTTTAGGGTTTTAGGAAGCAGTATTGCATATCCGGGTATATCAAAAACCGTATTCTGCTACATCGCAGCAACGGTATACTTATCGTAGCAGTTGTCTTCTGATTCTGTTTTAGGGCTTAGGGTTTGTAGGGCGTGGCTGGGACTTCAAAAACGCGTCCTGGGTGACTTCAGGACTGACTCGAAGCGAGCACCGCCCGGTTGAGCAGAGGATGCCTCCTAGCTTACCTTTGGTTAGTAGGGAATGGAAAACTGGTAGTAATAGTAGGTATAATTGTACTCCATTCCTCCATTCCCTACTAACTAAAGGTAAGTTACAGGATTATTAAGCCCCCTACATTATAGTACCCTTATACAAACCCTTATAAATCCCTTATAGTGCCCTTATAGATCCCTTTATAGTACCCCTATTCCCTACTAACCCTGCCCCCCTGGCCCCCTTACCCCCCTAAGGGTCCCTATGACCAAGGCAGAAACGCTCGAGCCTGAACTGCCTCAAAACGGAAATCAACGCCTAAAGCCCAAAAACTTGAAACGCGTAATGTAGGAACCTGGTTAAGAAATCCTGGCCCTATAATCCCAATATATTAAGATCCGTATTAAGAACCCTAATACGGACCCAAGGTTTCTTAATCAAGTCCCTACATTAACACCGCGACAAGACATTCAACTTGGATACTGCCCCCATACAGTAACAATCTATAATAGGGTTTCTATTAAGGGCCTAATATATCTATATTATGAATATTATCCAGCTGTTACTGAGTGGGGGCAGTATCCAACATTCAACCCTTTTCTGGCTTCGGGTTCACTCAGACATGGGTGGTTGTCAAAATTAGGGTTCCTTTTTGGGTCCTTATTATAATACGGCCCCCAATATTTAGGGTGCCCAAAAAGGGCCATAATTTTGACAACTACCCACATGTCTCCGATAGCCTCGTCGATTGCTCTGCCGGCGGGGAGCCGACCTAGGCAAGGATGTCCAAGCGCTGAGAGACCCAGAGACTCCAAGATCCGTTAATGAGGGAATATACCCTAAATCATATTAGGGATCTTACTATAATTTCAGGAATCTTCCTTAATTAAGGATTACTATAATTTAAGGAATATTCCTTAATTAAGGATTACTATAATTTAAGGAATATTCCTTAATTAAGGGATATTGGAGTCTCTGGGGACTTCATTCAGTTGAAGCTTTTTGGGCCTTCTGGGGCTCAAGGCACCAAGGCCATGATGGTTTTAGGGTTTAGGGTTTAGGGTTTCGGGTTTAGGGTTTAGGGGTTTAGGGTTTGGGAGTTTCCGAAAAGAGTCCCAGGCTTGTAGGTTGTTGCATGTTCATCTCAAATGTGCTTTGTTCGTACCATCTAACCCTAAAAAAACATACACGTCCCCGATGAGAACTAAAGCGTAAACTTTCGGATTGTACTTGGAGGTTCAGGGGTAGTTATCAGCAGGGTCATAAGACCCATGGATTACAAGTATATATAGTTACCCTACTTATAACCCTATTTATAACTACCCTTAAGCCCACAGTATAGGACGCTTAGAGGAACCCTAAACACCTTGTAACCCTACTTATAACTACCCATGAACCTCCAAGTATTGGGACTGTAGTACCCCAGATTTGGGGTTCTCCGGTTGATGATATAAATCCTGCATTACCCATAATGAGGAATATACCAAAATTCCCATAGTTTAGGGTCCTTAAGGTAATGCAGGATTTATATCATCAACCGTCCTACCCTGCTACCGACCCTAACCCTAAACCCTAAACCCCCAACTCTAAGGTTTCGGATTCCGACTCTAAGGCAGCGCAAGAGGGGTTTAGGATTTTGGGGATTCAAAAGCTCAGAGGTTTGAGTGAGGGTCTACACTGTGACTTCACAAGGGTTTCGGGGTTTAGGGTTTAGGGTTTAGGGGTAGGAAACATCAGCGTAAAGATTTTAACGAAGAGATGGGGGTTTAGAGACTGGGGGGCCCCCCGGCTTAGGCATTCAGGGCTTCGGGCTATGGAGGAGACGATGTCGGCTACAAAAGGGAACGAGCTATGAAGCTCATCTCGGGTGTTCTTTAGCTTCGAGGCCGTCTTTAATGCTATGACTTGGGCAGTATGTTACACTGATATGGGGAATGTTATGAGAGCGGGTGGGAGATGGCCCTTTCAGGTTGTATACTTGACCCTTCTGATCTTGGACCGGTATTCCGCATGCCGGACGCGGATCTAGAAGTCTTTATTAACAAAGTTTACATCAACTGTGGCCTCGTAGAGCGTTTCACTCCGGAGTACAAGAGTAGGCATTGCCCCTGATGTGGAACCCTTAATGTGGATTCCAGACCTTCAGGCTTGAAGGGCTTTTGGCTCCGGGGTTCGGGTGCTTCGATCAGCCCGCCAAACCTTAGCGAGAATGGGCCGATGGGTTCCGAAATTTGTCGTTTAGGGTTTACGGTTTCGGGTTTAGGGCTTTTTTGAGGCCATCTGACCCAAACTAGCTTTGAAGCGCAGTATCGCTCAGCATGAAAACGAGGATTAGATATGCTGAGGTTCAAGATACCAGAAGGCCCCATCGCGAAGCTAGAGCTACAAGAGCCCAAACTCAGAAACTTAGACCTATAAACTCAGAACTTCCAAACCCTAAACTCTGAAAGACCTTCAAACTCAAACGGTCTTTTGGGTATTTGCAGATCATGGTCTCTGAGCCATCGGTCGCCCCAGTTTCAGGGTCCTTGCTTTTGTTCGCTGCTTCTGCTGCTACAGAGCCAGAAGCAGGCCAAGTCAACATCTAGTTTCGCCTATCCTTGGAATCTTTGGAGGCTCAATCAAGACGCTACGAAGCAGCTTCCAACTGTCCGCAGCTATGTGACTTGGCCTGTGCAGGTGAAGCTCTAAAGATATATACAAAGCCAAAGCCTAACACCGGACGGAGTAGGCATGCCCTTTCGAAGGCAGGCGGACTGTTTTCCGATATTACCAATTTATTCGAAGTCGCGATGCCCAGACCTTGAATCGGAGACAAGACCTGACATGTGGTGCTGGCAGAACCGGTGCCTGTAATCGTCTCAGTGCGCCCAAACGAGCGACAAGCCCAAGAAATGCACTCATTGTTCTTATTGTTGGTGTTGCAGTGCATCTTGTCGTTGCCAAAGTTGGGATTGACACTGGTAGTGTCAGTCTGACTTACGTTCTGTGTTCGTTGATACTGCCAATGCTGCAACAGCACCGCTACCGCTGCTGCCTTTTCTGTTGATGTTTTACCGTGCATCGCTATTCGCCTGAACTTTCCCTGCTGTTTCAAACCGATGGCTGTGTTTGCTATCACTGTTGTGACAACATAGTCCCATTGTTGCAACGACCATTGGGTTCCATTTTTAGGATCTTCAATAACCATACGGTTTAGGGTTTAGAGTCCGCGAAAACCCGCCAAACGTAGGATTGTGTTCACAATCTACTGCACAGGCTCGTCGCGACCAAAGGCGTGAAAATTCCCGCGCACACAGGTGCAGGGTCGGAAAATGAGGGTCCCACGCCTTGCCATGGAACAGCATTAAAATCGCCAGGGCAGCAGAAGCACTAAGCCCTAAACCCTGCACCACAGATAATGATAAGGACCACAGTAGGGATACCATCACGACGGCCGGAAGAAGGAGCAACTGCGATGACACGATACCCAACACATCGTCATTACACTCATGATCGTTGTGATAGCCGTCATCGCCCCCACCGGTGCCACGACGACGACCATCGTCATCACAATCATCAGTGTCGTCACATCAACAACCACCATTACCATCGCAATCATGGTCATCATCATAATCACAAGCACTAAACCCTAAACCCTAAACCCTTAAACCCTTAAACCCTAAACCCTTAAACCCTAAACCCTAAACCCTTAAACCCTTCAACCCTTAAACCCTAAACCCTAAACGCACCAGCTTTATCAACATTGTCATCGTTGTCACTGTCGTAACCATCACCTTTACACCCTCAGCCCCGGCCTTGCTTTAGTGGGGGGTTTCGGGGTTTCAGGGTTTATGCCTTACTTAGCGGTTTCGGGTTTAGGATTTAGGGGGTTTCGGGTTTAGGATTTAGGGTTTAGGGGTTTAGGATTTAGGGTTTAGGGTTCAGGGTTTCGGGTTTAGGATACTTGAATCATCGATGCCATGGCACCTCTGCATGTAAGGCTCCTGCATAGGGAGCCTTTGCCCTGAAAACCCTGCGCCGCCCTGTGCTATGCCACTATGCCGGGTTTAGGGTTTTAGGGTTTAGGGTTTTAGGGTTTTAGGGTTTAGGGCTTTAGGGTTTTAGGGTTTAGGGTTTTAGGGTTTTAGGGTTTAGGGCTTTAGGGTTTTAGGGTTTAGGGTTTTAGGGTTTTAGGGTTTAGGGCTTTAGGGTTTTAGGGTTTTAGGGTTTTAGGGTTTAGGGTTTCAGGGTTTTAGGGTTTAGGGCTCTAGGTTTTTTTTGGCTTAGGGCTTGGGGCTTGATTCTCGCTGAAAGTCAGATTTTGGCCTGCCCGGGCCCTCCAGAAAATGAGTACGAGCACCTCAAGCCCACAAGGCCTTGACTCTGGGGGGAAGTATGAGGATAGATCCTTCCGAACACATACTGCACCTACGTCTTATGTGCATGCATATCTGTTCACATGCATGATACATACATTGATTCCTGCAGGTGTGGCACGTCCGTAAACAAACATGACGGTGGGTTTGCACCCCACCCGCACGCAAGCACGCACGCACACACACACACACACACACAGATTTAAACACACATATACACACATAGACACACACACACACA